CGACTTTTGGTTACTATTTATCTCTTGATCTCAGAGAAGCCTTTTGTAAATGCTAACAGGATGACAGGCTTGGTTTGACCCTGCTCCTATTACAATCATTGGTCAAAAATCCTGCTGGGTCACATCCTCTGAGTGGATCGCATCCCTGTGGATCTCCTAATGCACTTTATAAAATGTATCCAGTAAACCCAATAGCAACAGAAATATGATTAAATACACAGCGCACAGAAGGTGCCAAAAAAAGCGAGCTACGGCTTCACTTTGAATTTTTGCTTATAAAGATTTACTTTCCTTATAAAAGTAACCCATATAAGTCTTTATCAATATTTACCTAGCTCAGCTAGGAAAATAAAACAGTAACTACCAGCTGATCTGTGCAGTATCATAGTAGTACAAGCACATTAAAGTCTTCCTTAAATGCAAGTGAGCAGGACCCTCGCCAACTGGAAAGAGCAAGAGAACAGTTAACACGCCTGAGTTTTATAGACATGCCAAGTGGCTTAGCAGTCTTTACTGAACATTTCTGTTACAGCGGCTTGCCTGAAATAAGAAACAAAGAAATCAGATTAAGGATTGAGCTGCTTAGGACAGCAGCATTAGCACAGCAAATTTCCCAGCAAGATAACTGTTATTTTGTGCATCAGATGACTGCTCCATGCTGCAGCGCTGAGCAGGGGTGGCTTCTTAATCCATTTTGAAAAGTACTTAACGAAAACCTTTAGGAAGGTTTTATCAGCTATGAATACGGGAAAGAGGGTGAACTTCCTATCCCGTGGTTTTGTTCATATGCTATTTGGCATCTCTGTATAAGAGCATGAGAAGCCATCAAGCCGTAAGCTATTAATGCATGAGTCATGACGAGGCTTTGCGGCAATTATCAATCTTTGTGTAGTCTTTGACTATTTGTCCCCTTAGAGCACTCCAGAGAGCAGGCTTTACGGCGGGCTAGCTGCGGAGCTGAGGTGAATGCTGGTGCATTAAGGCACAGTTTGATGAGCGAATGTTCAAGTGGCAGTGCTGGCACAAGCAGCTGCCATACCACACACCCATTAGCGGGCACTTGTTCCTGTCTCTATGCCTCTCTTTGTGCTGTGCCAGTGTAGGCAATTTTGTAGCTTCATGGCAACACGGGCTACGAAATGATCTGGCTGCAAAAGACTTTTTCAAGTTCTGCAGCTGAACTACAGATTTAGGCTTTTTTCATGCTCGTTTAGGAGTTCTGACTGCAACGTGAGCGAATACCTTCGTTAGCTTTAGTTGAGACTGGTAATTAATGAGAGCAGTGGGCACGTAACAGCTTGGGCTTCAGCACGGGCTGTCCAAGCCAGCCAGAGATCACACTGAATTGCTAGGGCAGCTGACACCTGGGCGATTGAATCTTCATTGCTAATCATTAGATCTGGCTTGGGTACATCTATGCAGCTTAAAATCACATCTCACAACTGCAGTATGGCTATAGTTTTGCTATCAACGTACACCTAAGCGCAGGTGTGTGACAGAAGGGAGGAGCTGGAATCCATCAGACACCTTTAAAGGCCACTTTTCTTCTTACTTTTTTATCTTTTTACCTTTCCCTGTGCACTTTGTGTTGTTGTAGGCTGTTCAAGTAGTTAAGTGGGCAACACGACCTTAAAAGGCATCATTACTGAAGGATGCTGCAAGGAATAAGCATATAAAGAACCCTTTAACCTTTGTATCTTCTGAACATGAGCTGGGATTTAAGACTTCACTGCGATCTGGAAAGAGCTGTCCTGTGAATAGCACGCAGCTTAGTACGGTTCTGTGGGACAAGATCCATGTAGAGTCCTTTGCTCTGATCCTTCTTAGAGGCAAAAAGGAAGACAGAGCCCATGCCGGCAACTGTCACAGAGCACATTATTCACCATTGCAATTTTAATCTTGGCTGTTTAAGAGGACTATGGATTGAGGCGTGTCATTATTTCTGTATGCATTAGAGTAGTCATAGCCATCTCTGCATATAATACTTAGCAAGATCAGTCCTTCCATTCGTTTGCCTTCTAGGAACTGCAAAGGGTATCTGTTTTTTTTGGGAACACGATTATGTAGATGCCGTCCTATTCTGGGTGACTGTCATTGTAATCAAGAGTAGAATTTAATCACTTTATCTCAGAGAGAGCTTCCAGAGATAGCAGTCTGAGCATCTAGCCTGTCATTCTGGGGGCATGTAGAAAAATATACACAAATGATAGACACTGAAATGTCTGATATGAAGTTTGGGACCTAGATTAAATATGGGCTTTCTTCCTGAAGGATTTGAACCGACCTTAAATAAAGAACCGCTCCCTTTGTTTTTAATGAGGCATTGCTGCAGTGAATTAATTGAGAGTAGGGGCAGAGTGAAGAATAAATGGAACAGACACAGCTGAAATAGTTTTAAAGATGAGGCTGGTTTGGGAGTTCTTCCCCTTCCCTTTACCACTGCCTCTGTTTGACTTCCCTTAAATCTTTGTGGTATCTCTCCCTCTTACGGGTATAGACAAAACCGGTGCAAAATTCCTTTGCCTGGTATCTTTAACACTGCTAACAGGAATCATCTGGAGACTGGAAAGTGAATATTGCAGGTTATTTAGACCTTGACCTTGCTGTTCAGGGTCCCAGCAGGGAGGCCAGCCATGATAATGGGGTTTTTTTGTTTGTGTGTTTGGTGGGGTTTTTTTAGCAGTTTCATCCTCTGTCCACTGGATATGGGATTGCCATACAGTAACGTGCTTAGCGGTGGTCAGCAGACAGCCATCTACAGGGAGTAACTTCCAGCAGCTCTTGACCTGCACTGTATCTGACCTTAGGGCTAGAAAGAAAGGTCTAGGTCTCCATTACCAGTCTCTCACGTCTCATCTTTCGCTTCGTTGCCTTTTCATCCTCACCAGAAGGGTGAAATCTGCACACTGTCAGCCTCCCCCAAGGGGAGAGAGATTTTTAGGTAGGTCTTAGGTCTCAGCATCTTCGCACACCTTTGTTTCATCACTCACTTAAAAAACAGTTATACTTGACTTACACTAGCGTGTGTGAGAGAAGGATCTGTCCTATTTTTTTATGTAACTCTCTCTGAACTCATTTTTTTAAAGGTTGCCAACTAGCTGTTGTGCACAGGCTTCCAGTCTAACATATTAGAAGGAAACAAAGCAATTCGGCAGCTTTCTGATCAGTGCTATCCTGCAAAATAACTGCATTTATTTATTTTGTTGTTTTGTTGGGGCTTTTTAACTGCAGGGAATTGCCAGTATATCTCACTGTCTGCTTAGCAACAAACATTCTCTACCCTGCAAAACTTGGCTTAACCTAAAAGATTTTTGGAATCTCAGGCCTTATGTATTATAAATTAGCTGTCGGTATGTATTATAAATTAGCTGTCAGTGCAACTAAGATTATTTACTCATGCACACTGGTGGGGAAGGCAACACAATGCCTAGCATCAATTCAGTAACTCAGTGAGTAGATGCCACATTATTTACACTTTAGCAATACCCTAAAACCCTCTTATGTGTATTCTGTAGGTGATTCCTTGGATGCAACAGTGCCTTTTAGTGGCTAGTTAAATGCATCACAGATTCGTTATGAGAATCCCCAGAGAGTGGAAGCTTTCCTATCAAAGCTGTGGTAGATCATCTAAATTCAGGTCTCAGTTACCCAGTGAATCTACTGCACTTCTGTGCTTTTTGCTTCGTAGCAACTGTGGCTATCTAAGCGGCATAATTTATTAAATCAAATCTGCTTTGAGAAAAATACAGTCCACTCATTCTTCTAATTACTACTGTTCAAATTTAGCCTCAATTAGTGACCTCTCAATTTGCTGAGATTAGTTCTGCCTGTGTGGAAGTGTGACTAGCTATGAAGGCATATGCAATAAGCCTTACATTTCTTCTTCTACTTAATGTATTACACAACTAGATATCTCTTGTTGCTTTTCTTTGAAGGAGTAAACAAAATACCCTTGTTAGCTGCAAACATCCAGTCTCTCCTTTCCCAGGAAGGCTCAGTTTCTGACTGCTATGGACAACCGTGTTACCAAAAATCAGGGAGAGGACAGCAGGGCAATAATGGTGTTATTCTACCATTGTAGAACACTTTTTGATCTCTGGATCTCGACATAACATTACAGACATCTGTGAGCCACCCCCTCTAAAAACACAGAAAGGCAGACCTGCAAAATTAGTAGAGATGTGTTATTATAACTATTTTATATGGGTGAACCTAGGCACAGAGAGCAGATGCCCAAGACTAGTAAACAGAGTAATTGAACGGGAAACAAACCCCAGAGGTTCAAATTTCCAGTCTGTGCTCTAGTTACAAGACATCTCCCTCTGATCCTCCTCCTCATGCTGGAAAGCCTGGAAAAGCCTATTGAATGGGTATGATAGCTTTTTATGTTAGGATTCAGCAGTTGTTTCAGCCACGTTTGAAAGGAATGAGTCAGGAATTTGTGTATGTGGGAAGTGGTTTCCTCTCACATTACTGTATGTATGGATGAAATACATTTCCTCTACTACGAAGTCGCTGAATGAGAAAATAAAGTGGCGCAGCTGACTGGCACTTCAGTGGCTGTACTTCGACCCTGATAATGAAAAGCCAGCGGCCTCGGGAGGCCAGTTTGGATAATGCATTTCGTAGAAAAGCTGGTGAAGTCACTTGTGTTCTTATAAAGAATGACTAGAAAAGGACAAAGTGGAGAAAAAAAATACCAATACTAAAACCTGATGAATTAGAGACTGGGTTCTATAGTGAAACCTGGCCTGACTGAAACCACAGGAGAAAATCTGGCTTTAAGACGTGAGCTATAATGCAATAATGAAGACGCCTCCCTCTGTGCTTCAGACAGTTTTTGTAGCAACTAGTGTTCAGGAATCAGAGATAATGATAACGGCTTGTGCCCGCAATCATTACAGCTGTGGCACGCACAGTATGCAAGGCATTTAATGTCAAACTTACCAGCATCACGCAGCGAGACAGCGGCAAGACGAAGTAGAATGCAGGTCACCTACCTTCCCGCCCGGCTCGTAGCTGGAGGACCGGTGACATTGCAGAGCAGGCAGGTTTTATTTGCAATGAGACTTAACCACAGAATTTGGGCTGGGGCTAGAACCTGCTCAAAGATGGGCATCCTCAAATCCAGGGAGCTGGTATGATCTTCCTTCTGTCCTTCAAAGCTGATTTGGGGCTGGAGCGATAGGCCTCTGAAGTCTGGAGCCTGGTGGACACCCCGAGTGGCTGTTCCCATCTTCTGGGGAACTGGAGGGGAAAAGGAGGAGTTTAAGGGCTGGTCAGACAAGTGGGCTAAGGCAGAAACAGGGTTAGGAGAAGAGAAGGAGAACAGGCTGGCACAAAGCTGTCAAGAGGACTCTGAGCTGCTGAGGGGAGCGCTACGGCCAGCAAAAAACTGGAGAAGGAAGGAGACATAGGTGAGGACTAAAAGATTTCCCCAGTTGTTCCTCAGCAAGGAATGTAAGGTTCTTTTTGACTTGAAGCCTGGAACAGTTCCATATATTTAAAACCCAGCAATTTTTTTGAAGCACTTTGATGAGATATGCAGAAGACAGAGTTGCCAGATATGTGTTAAAAAAAGGATCTTACTGCTGTCAGTAAAGAACTTCTAAAAATAATGTTATACATATGTATATAAAACATATAGGAGTATACATCCTGGAACACTTAAATGCATTTTCGTTTGAAGGTAATTTCTTATGGCGAGGCAGGCCAGCCCGTCAGGAGCCACAGCTCTGCACCGTGCTGGCTCTCTCTGCTCCAGCAGCACAAAGACAGAGCCCCAGCGTGGCTTTCGCCGTGGCTGCAATCATTGCTTATTAGTGAATCATTCCATCAGACACCCAGGCAGGGCAGCAAACACGGAGGAGACGTTCGCCAAGAAAAGAAGGAAAGTGTACTTCCGCATGCATTCCGTGTATATTTTAACCATTTTCCAATATTTCCTTTGCTTTCAACCTCTACGTGTCAAATAATAGTAAATTGCAAATGTACTAGTTCCAGCTGAGCACAACTGGGGGTGAAATAGCTTTTCTTTGAAGCTGAAGCTAGAGTCCACTTGAAAAGCTGTAGTGAGCGCCACAGAAATTTGCAAAAGAGTAACTGAAATTCTGACCTGGTGATTCAAAGCATTCAATGAATGCTGGTGATTCATGACACAAATTTTCAGAGGAGCTACATAATCCATTAGGAGAGCAGCCTATGAAAGAGACCATCACTGTAGCTGAGATAGCAATCACTAGGTAAACAGCTTATTAAAAGAATGTTATTGTCTTCCGGATCAGCAGAAAACCAATATAGATCTTAACGAATGTATTTTAACATTGAAAAAGTAATATATTATTCTAGCATTTGTTTTCATTGCTTTTCAGGTGATCGAGGATGTCATTACACATTTCAAGTAGAGTAGAGGAAAAATATAAGATGAAGATCCAGGGCCAAATTCTTTTACATCTGCACCCTCCCTAGGAAGAGATGGGGAGGATCGTTCCACCCCACCTTGGCTCCGCTGCATGCTGTGACATTCTGGGAGCAGCTCTCATCCCTGCTGCCAGTCTCTCGGTTTTGATGGTCCCTCAGCCTCTTACCTGGGACTGCTGGTAGAGGAGCTGACAGCTCTGTGTGCACCAAGGCAATTTTCCGTTGGCAAATCAAGGCTTCCTGAGTGGCACAATACAGCTGGAACACAACACAGAAACTGCCCCAGAAATTTCAATATTGCACACACGCAAAATGTGTGTGTGTGCGCGCGCCTGGCACGGGCAGGGACTGAGCCACAGGCCGTCACAGCAGTGGTCTGTGAGGGTGGGTAATCAGATGCCTGATGGTTTGTGTACGTGGACAGTTCCTGTGACCACATGTATGAAAACAGAGATGGGAGATCTACAGGGATCCTTACGAAATCAGTTATACATGGACAATTTCAAAATAAAACATTAGCTGGGGATAAAAATGGAGAGCTTCAATTAGCTTTTTATAGCATTTCATGTTTTGTTTTACTCCCCGTGTGCGATGTGACCAGTTACCTCTCCAACATTTTTCTTCATATTCGGCAACTAGCGATGTACTTCAGCGTTGCAAGTGAACTGAAGTGCATGCCTTTGCTTAATAGTCCCCCCATTCATTTAAATAGTCAGCAGCTTGCCAGCGCTGCTTTGTTTGCATTTTAGAGTTATGGATGATGTCAAGACAGCCGTGATTAAACGCTCAGCTAACTACTGCTCAGACGGAAAGGGGCTGAAGTAAACTATTATTTCAGAGACACTCGCAAGCTTGGAGAATACATATTCTCTAATATTACTTTTTTGCATCAGGATTTGTAATAGAAGAAATTAAGACTCTTAAGGACTTTCCCAGCAATGTGCGACTACCCATGGACGTATCAGACACGCAGTATTCATATACTCTCAGGAGGATTTTGGCTGAGATCTATGCCTCTCAATAAGCGTGCTTTCTGCTTCTTCCTTCCTTCCTCAGTCAAGCTTTCATTTCCAAGTAGTGGTGTAGAAATTGTAGTCGCCCCAAGGGCAAACCATGAACTACATGGGGCCCACACAAAATTAAGAAGCTAGTGCCCCCATTCTAGATATTTAATCCAGAAGAATACAATTCCCTGCTTGATAGGTAGTGCTAGGCATTGGGACGTGGGCGGAAACTGAGAGGCGCGGATGCACAATAACGGCCCGCTACAGCTCAAGCTAGCTGATTGCAAGGCCAGTATGTAAAACATATGCAATTACTCTCCTCGGTTATCAAGACAGACCTTCTCAGAGCACACACTTTCCTTCCATCCAGCTCATTAAATATCAGTCTAAAAAGGAAAACATATGAAGTGGGAAAGAAACAGCCAGCTCACTACTGGAATAAAAGTTTAATAGAGAAGTCTCAGCTGTGTTCCACATATATGTTCAAATATGACTAAGGAAAGCCTGCAGAAGTCTCCCTTCTCCCCTTGAAATATTCCAAGCAGACTGTCTTTCAGAGAGTGAAGTCCAGTAGATTAACTCAGGCTTTAAACCGCAGGAGGATTTGAATTGTCAGGAATAGACCACAGACCAAAAAAACCCTTTAAAACATTATTCCTTAAAACAAAAAAGGTGAAAGAAGCAAAATCAGTAGATACAGTTGCAAAATTTGGAGTTTCACAAGGAAACACTTAACCGATGCTCAAGAGCATTGCTTCCAGCTGCCTTGAGAGCTCTGCAGAGAAATTAGAACAAGATTACCCTTACTTTGCAGTAACAACAAAGGTTAAAAAAAGTTTCCAATATGGGATGGTTAATTGGAAGAACTTTCTACTGATTTTGTTTAAAAACATACTAAAGCAGAGCTTGCCTCCTTGATCTCATACCTACAACTGCGCTTAGCGACCGGAGTGGTTAAGACTCTAGGAACCGGTCGCTGCTTTGTACCACTGAAGTTCATGCTTGCCACAACTCTGTTCAGGACAGATGATGACCTACATATGAACAATGGAAAGAAAAAAGAATGACTGGATGATACAGAAATGATGCAAACACAAGAGTATGTGTTTAGGCTGGCACTCATTCTGCGTGGGAAACATAAAGGGAGGCAAGAGATTAGCTGTAAGGCTCACAGATTTACTCCTTTTCTACATGTTTTCCTTAGTTCCCCCTCCCCTTATTGTCTGAGCAGACCTCAGTGTCCTACTATAGTTATCAGGTAAATTTTAGTGACCTTCCTGCTAATTGTTAATATATGACAGCTTAATATTCCCACTGGATATTTTAGAGAATAGTTCATGAATCAGAAAACTCAGAATTGAGAAAGGGCTTTTGGATCATCCTCTCCATCTCTCTCTGCCGTAAGCATTGCAGGCAAAAAAAAAAACCCAAAACCAAACCAAACAGCTGGCATTTTTGCAGCCTGAAACGCGATTGAAAAAGAAAACGGAGATGCTCTGAAGTGCAAATCCTGCAGGTAACTACAGATGAACTACCTGATGGATTCCCTCATTTCTTTGCCAATTATTTCCTTCCCGTTTTGTTGCTGCGTTTGTAGCCATCAAAAGCAACTTCTTGCTGACAATGATCGTTCTTGCACTATATCATAGTTTACTCTTAGTGTTTGCCTCTGACATTCACTCTGCGTTGCAGCGTACTATCATTTGCAATTTTGGCCCAAGAGCACAACTGAGATTTCCAGTTCTCCTGTCTGTACTGCCCAGGCAGTGACAGACAGATACACTATAAGGTAGGCACCAGAGAACTGATGAATAGTTATTGGTAATTCAAATGGGATAGCAGTACTGGTAACAATTTTCCGTCTAACCTACTGTCTTCAAGGCCTATAAAGGCTAACACTGCCTTAAGAAACACTGTTTGAATTATTCCTCTTCCCTGTGATTATAGCCAATTCTGCTGGTAAAGAATTTACCTTATGCTACTTCATTAAAGCTACTTCTGTTCAAAACGGCTACTGTTACACAAACATTTATTGTTTAGCACATCTATCCTTTCCCTGTAGCTGCAGAGCTGATACACAGATAATACTGGTCTCATTTATGACTTTTTAGTTTACATCCCCTTCTCCATCTCTCAAAGAAAGAGGGTTTTCTAACTGAGCTTTAAGGCTCTGGTCACACCAGACCTTGTAACAGGTAGCATCTATGCGAAACTTTAGGATTCTTCTAGTCTTTGGTACAGACTGCCTATGAACCCTGCTGGAAGGCTCGTTTGTCACTTGTGGCCAAAGGACTGGTTTTCTACTAGCACAGGCCCAGCTCTGTTGGCAAAGACAGGATCTCCTGACTGTCCTGTCTGTGGGTTAGCTAATGTGTGCAGTAGCTGGTGTACTTGGCTAACGAACCTTGGCTAATGGTTTTTTGTTTAAAACAAACAAAGGCTCTTCTCTGTTTTCCCTCTGCTCCTGCATCAGTCAAGTACAGTCTGGCGCTTGGTACAGCTGGACTGGTTTTCATCAGCTGACTTAATACATTTCTTAGCCTCCTCGGTAGCTTAGTAGAACCAGGGGGGATGAACAGCAAAGGAGGGATTTCCCTGGCTAGAGCTTTCCTTCATATGTCACGCTCTGCTGTGAGATGAGCCCTGGGCTGCCACTGCGCCTGTGAGGCAAAGGGTCCCAGAAGCCCAGGCTGCACCCAACGCTGGAGATGCACAGCCAGATGGAAGACGAAGAGCCACACACAAAGGCTGAGCAACCCTGGCTTTCCATCACAGAAGTCCAGAGTACCAATACTAGCAAATTAAGCATCATCTGAGAAGCACAGCTCAAAGGCAGTTATGTCCTTAAGCATGTGTTGCCGGCTCCTCTCCGTGGGACTCAGCTGTCATCCAGAGCCAATGCAGCATTTGTCTCTCCAAATTCTTCAGTTTCTGCAGAATCTGGAAGCACTGAGAGTCACTGAACTTCTATTGGTCCACTAAATCTGGGGGAGGAGGGATAAGATCCCGCGGGTTCAGCCTAGCAACAAGGCAAACATCATAGCTGTCGTGCATGAGGACGTCGATGGCCACCACGTTCCACTGGTTCTCCCACGTATCCAGCTCGAGGATCTCTTTGCTGATAACTTCATGACGAGCTGAAAAACAGAAGCAACAACAGCGGGCATCAGGAGTCAAGTCAAACAGGATCAGAGAGTTTTGTGCAGTTATTATTATGGTCCTCTGCGTGGCGGCAATGAAAAGGTAATTTTGGTGCTACTAACAGCTACGCTGTTCGAGGAGTGTGCGAGTTGTCAATGTATAGCAAATGAAATAGTGCAGATGGAGATCTGCCCAGTGTATTCAGTCCTCACACTCTGGGCTCCAGGTGCAGCTGCAGGGACAAAAGCATGAAGTGCTCCATCTTGGTACGAGTGTGCAGGTGGCATTTCATTGTGCAATCAATTGTCAGATGCTCATCTCTTAGAGACAGAGTATTGCCTATTGTTAGTGAGCATGCCTACATGCAGTATGTTGTCTTTTCTTTGCCCTGACTAAAATGCAGGTCTCAGGCTCCTGGAAGCACTCCAGTGCTATGGCTTTTCTTGGGTGCGAAGTCTGGACATCCTGTGGTTTGGGGAGAAATAAAGACAGAAAGAAACCTCCAGGGCTTTCAATGTACTTCAGCTGTTCTGAAGTGCTGAGGAATTTGTCATGCATGGTCAGGTTAGAAGAATGCCATTAAATCACAGCCGATCTCAAGGCAAGAAGTTTCTTACTGAGACTAACAAAAAATAATGAAAGAATCACCATGCAGCAGAGAACCATAATTGCCAACAAGCAGTTCTACATTAAACCCCTTACAAGAACGCAAACCCTTTCTTTGCTAACAAAAGTCCTGAACTCTCCAGCAATTGTTACTCAAAACCAAGTTCTCTCCTAAAACTAAGAAGCGTCTTTCATTTCTGCTCACTTTTTCTTTTCATCTTAAAGTTGCTTTCTGACAGCAAGTAACTTTAGCCTAAACTTTTCTTACTTGGAGCTGAGGACATGCGTGTACTTTGCTGCCGGCTTCCTTCTGATGAATTTCTGGATAGATGTATCAGAAGCCAGGTCTCGGATGTTTCCAAGCATGGACACTTCACAGGTACCAGGATAAGAACCGTCATAGCAAGAAACATGGAATACTCAACACTGTTTTATCAAGTCTTAAGAGACTGGTGACAGGCTAAACTTTACAGGGTCCAGCCTGAGGTTCTGATCAGCTATCCCTTCTAGAAAGCTTTTTTTTTTTTAAAAAAAAAAAAACAACACCACCACAAACAACCCTATCCGTCACATCTATTGACTGCATCTCACTGTTTGGACACCGCCCTTCTGCGGAGCTGACAGCAAAGGACTGAAGAAGGGGAAAAGAGTGAAATACAGAAGAGCATCCAGAGGCAGATATTGTTTCTCACCTTGGAAACACAGACCACATATTCCTCCAGAGGACAGCAGCCCTGGGGTTTAGTACCCCCAAGATGGTGCTGTCGTGGTTTAGGTTCCGTGCAGAATTGGTGGTGATGTTATGATGACGTAGTGCCATGGGGTTTAAAATACCCCTGTTTTAAATAGCTCCTCTGCAAGTAGCTTCAGGAGGT